CGAAGAAGAGCAATGTATGCTGCCACTGTTGTAGACGCGCTTACCGCAAAATTTGCCAAACTTAGCCTGAAATACAATTTAAGTTTTTTACTAGTTCTACCGCAAAGAAAAACAATTAATTTATTCTTTACGTAATAATCTTGACCAGTTTATCCATTCTGACTGAAGTAGGCTAAGATCCTTTTGAACAGAAATGTATCATATATATATATATGATACATTCAAAATATAAAAAGGCGATCATATGGTGTCCGCTAATTCTGTTTACGGTCAATCGTAAGTAAACTCTCGCATTCAATCGAACGTGATGAGCAGAGATTAATTATGTTTTGTTTCAAATACTAACTTAAACTTTACAGCCTATGTGTAGTTACTTCTCCCTTTACCCTGCATCAGCTTTACCAAGTGGGCACGAGCGGGAATACAACTGCTGAAGTTCGGCACTTCACTATAGCACTGTCGAGTTTCACAAGCGGAGCTCACTGTTAATCATTTCGTTTCGTGTGCTGTTCTCCCTCCGTCCGCTACAGCCTAATTGACAAGGTCCGTAGTAAATGGGGTTATAGCCGACGGGTGTAAAGAGGAATGAGGCATGCAGCATGCTTGTAACGAACTATTTACGTGGTCCGAAGCAGAGCAAGGCCCGAAAAATAGGGAAAAATGGAGGGGTAAGGAACCCATTCATTTGGGCCTGTGATATGCAGTTCTTCGCGTGATACGGTCGTAAAGTAGTATACAGTAAGGTTACACAACTGCCTTAATGTGTCGCTGGGTTTTTTCGTTTTCCCTTGCTCCCCTTTATCAATCACTCACACGGAAGCGATAAAATCTGAACTTGTCCTACTTCTTCATCAGTATCGTCTATATGTGTACGGGTTCCGACTGGCTATTCCTGCTCTATCCGTCTGTCCAGAAGCTGCACTCGTGCTACGTTGTCTTTTTCCTAAAAGCCAACCGATGGGTGGTGGCTGACGAGTCGACGCAAAGATCCGGCGAAATCGTGGCAAGTGAGAATTTATGACTTCGTAACTGGGCGACTTAACCACAAAGATGATGATCGTTTGGAAAATCGGCGGTGAGAAAATGCGGGCTCTTCAACTGGGCCATAGTGGTCTGCTCACGAGACCTTTCGAGCTGCCGAGCTTAGTTTGTAAAGATGATAGTCGGTACCTGTCGTCAGCAAGCGTGCCGGATTACGCGGATGCGATTCAAGCGGATCGGGACTGAATATTGGTTCGTAGTAGTTTATGCTTTCTATCGCCTGCCAGGTTGTGAATTACGGGCACCTCACTGAGCGAGCATGGAAGACCGCGAACACGTAATCAAAAGTGATGGCAGGCGAGTGGGCGGGTGTGTCCCCGGTCGCCAAAAACTAGTACACTTCCCTGTTAAACAAGAACAAGACTACTACCGCAACTACTACTATCACAAGCGTCCCAGTCAGCCAGTGAGTCTGCTAGCCAGCCCTACGAGAAGCACGAGCAGAGCTGCTGCTGCTCCTGTAGTTGATTGATGCACTTACGAATGCCCCATACGGCACCAGGCAGGTAGGACCCAGCTGTCAGGGTTGCGTGGCGGTGACTGCGGTTGTGGCAGCACCCCTTCACGTCCACCTTTGCTGCTTTTACCCCCCCCCCCCCCTCAAACACACACACACACACAGACACTCGTCGCCTTAGATGCGGGATACAGGGAACATTGCAATTCGTCTAGAAGACACCAGCAAGCCCACAGTGGACAAAAGCCATCTACTCTCATCGATCTTCCCCTTGCACCTTCCCTGCAAATAGAGAAAGAAGGCGGGAAAGTAGAGAAGAAAAAGTCGTACAGAGCAAGAGAAGAACTAAACAAGGAGGCTGTAACTTCGATACGTAGGAGAGCCAGATACTCGATTATCCGTAGTATACTGCCATACAATGGCTGTACTTTTAAAGCTTTTGATACGTTCAAAAGCTATGCAAGTTCGATTTGAAAGTAAACCAAGCCCAAAAGCGTTCTCTGTTTAACCATACGTATCTCGTACGGAGTATGCCGAGATACACGCTTCTTTACCTGGGGTTTTGTCAGAAGTGTGCAAGTCCATCTGCTCTATGTCGAGCCTTGTACTCGACAAAAGTAGACCATCTGAGGGGTCTCGCGATGTTGGCTTACCAAAAGGCCCTTTTTTTTCAGCTGCGTGTCAAATAAAAGGAGAGAGTAGAAACGAAAGAAGGTCAGAGAAGACGAAGAGCCACCGACCTTATTCAACTCCGAGATGCTCTGTCCTCGTCCCGTATGCATTTTTAAGAAGTGAATTTCAATGCGTTTTCGGTGCTCAGGAGACGAACAAAACACACTGGCCGTGCTGAGCGACAGAGGAGCGCGCTAAAGAGTGACGTCTCTTTATCTCTTTAGATTAGACGAAGTGAATACCGTGAGCCGCAGTCACTCGTTTTGGGTGGCTTATTTACCTTACCATCGGGTTATTCTTGTCATTGCTTCGCAGAAAAACTTCATGCCCTTACAAAAACAGAAAGGGCCGCCAGAAGGCACACGAACCTGCAGATGTGTCTTTCAGCTTGTGGGATGTCTGCGCTTTCCGCTGGTGCCACTCTGTAGAATCTTGTAAGGCCACCCTTCTCGACAGTGAAGCCGACCCCTTTGCGTTGCCTGAAGGTACTTTCCGCCAGTCACTTCACTAGCATGCACCTTAGGCAACTGTGTGGAACATATCGAAGCCCTTTTCTTCGTCCATACGTTGAATAGACATTCCCACCTATCTCTTTTATGTCTTGAAAAATGTTCAAAACGTCGTCTGCATCTGTCGGGATTTCCAAATCCGGAATATTTACCAAGCCCTCCAGCTACATATGCTTTGCACACAGAGCCGCAAGCGTCACCGCAAACTGCTCCAAATCAATGTCTTCGAGAGGGAAGCAGAAGGCTTGACCGTATTATAGAAGCCATCCCTCGCGATGCTCAGGTAGGTTTTAAATACTTGCGATAGAAGTCAGCACAGGCGACTAGACTGGCTAGTGAAAACCATTGAATTAGGGATACAATTTGGATTGGACATTACAGCAATAAACATGTGGAAGGCCTTTTTCAAGGCCCCGTTTTAGAACTGCACACTCGAACGAAATCGTAGGCATGAGCTTTGCAGGAACAATTTTCGATATGATGACCTACATTGACGACACTTAGTGTGAACCCTTTACAACACTCAGGGTAACCACTTCTATCGCACCTGCCGATTCTAAGCAGCAAGTCATGAATCTAATCGTTCTCAGAGTTTTGTCCTGTGTCAGGCTAACTATTGGTCTTACACGTGGTCGTATGCACGGTTGTATTTCAAGACGATCGGCGTTTCGAAATTCATAGCCGCGATGTGGCTTGTGCAAAGCGACTATCATTGTGCTGATGCCATCTTCCAGCACAGTTAGTGTCAGACACGCACACGTACCATGGTCGTCCCTTATTCCCAATTTAGTCGCCAGAGACCATGGGACATGTGTATGCGCTCTTCCTTAATGGTGCTTTAACAGCTTTTATGGGGGCGTCGTTTGATCAGTATATGCTTAGTTAACGTAAATATATAATTTTGTATCGAACTGCCTTTTCTATGAGGTTGAATGGGTCACGCGGGAACATGGGAAAAAGCGGCGGGAAGTGACCAAAACAGCTGACACTTCAGCAACGGTAGGAGCAAACTGGGTGCCGCTAGCAGGGAACGGACCTTGTTACACTGTTGTATATATGGGCTGGCACGTGTAGTTTTCCATTATCGCAGTACCCACACCGGCAGTGTTTCCACACAGAGTTTCACACGTTCGCATGATAACATTCAAAAATAATTTATGACGGCTGTGAACGACAGACAATAATTAATAGTCATAGGGATGTACTAATAATTGCACCGCTATTTTTCTCATTATAAAAATAAAAAGAACAATCTTATAATACTTTTCCACTGGTACGCAAAACATCACGACGAAACGACATAACTATTAAGTAATAAATAAATAATAACTAAGATAAACTAATTGTTTTACGCGATTGTCACCGTCCGTCAGCCGTCGTTAGTATCAATTAATTAGCTCTCCATATACAAATATATATATGTTATAGTGCAACAAAGGCGAACTCGTTATAGAGGTTATGATCAATGTAGATGCGTGCCCGGGTGTTCGAACGTATTTCCTCTATATTGTACGCAGTATTCGGTTACCAAAGCGCTCCGCGAGTAGCTGTGCGTCAGGACACTTAGGCTGTACAACAAATATAGATAGCACATACGTGTACTCTGGCTCTATTTATATTATGGATAACAGTGATCGAAGTCTAGCCTATCGTTCGAAAGTCATTATATTTATTATAGTATGGGTAACTGCGTAGTCATATCACTAGCTATATAATCGTCTGAATCGGTACGGTGTTTAGCTGAACTAATAAACTAATCAATGTGATTACATATAACTTTATCTAAATAAAGATTACTGGCTCCTATCCTACGTACTCGGAACGTATGAGGCAAACCAGTGTGCGGGGAGCCAACACGCTGTCTCAGCTGATGAATCTGCTACGATTAGGCTGACAGCCTGACATTCATCATATACCTATATGCCGAAAGCCGACAAGCGTTTATCAGTTATCTCGCGGACGACAAAAATTATCTCTATGTATTAGCAGACTGTTAATGATACATGGTGAGCCATTGCCCCCTGTTGTGGTAGTAGCAGCAGCTGGTACTAAAAAATAACGACACCGGCCGAGAAATGCCGTACATGACAGGCTTAATTTTCACTTAAATTTCTTGACGTGTCTGTTCCATAGCAGTACAGACGTATGCGATAGCAAGACGCATTGTACTAACTTCCCAAGATAACCAGAATAAACATCATTGTGCCCTTATAATCTGTGATTAAGCTTTAAGTCAGAATTAAAAAATTGTTTTCTTTTGTTTTTTTTTTTTTATTAATAACTTGATACCGTTGTACATTAATTTAGATCAAGTTCCCTTACCCGAAACGCTTACACAGTGTATACTACAATGTGTTTGAGTTTTAAATGATGATACACTTTAACAATCGCCTTTTTACAGTACGAACTTTTCCATGTAAAACACAGCCTAAGTATTATAGCATAGTCGTTTGACTAAAAAGTTATTACAAGAATAGTTCTAACAATGCAGATGTTTGCATGATTCCTATAAAAAAACAATTGTTATTTTATTTATTAACAGGTTTTTCTTATTTCTGGCCATTTTATTTATATATGATAAGAGTGTTCTGCATAGGTGAGGGATGCATGGCAACTGAATAGAACATCCCTGCATCGTCCAACCACGTAAGCATATACAATAGTAGATTTGTTCGGGACGTCCCGTTCTTTTAATGATGAATCTCACTTTGTTGTTAGCAAGTACGTACTACATTATGTAGAATATTTCAAAGCAAATTGAATATGCCTATTTTATACTGTCACAAATCAGTCGAGAAGAACAAGGCTGCACCACGCCTTCGTTCAAATGTTTGTATGTCTCCAATTATGCCACAATCCGGGAAGGTAAATGAGGAAGCGGTATGGTATTCACGTAGTTTCAGAGAAATGAAATCAGTCTCGATATCTACATACGAATCAAACCTTAACGAAAAAAACAAAATCGACTTGTCATCGAAGGCAACCTTATTCAACGATTTTTTTTAACTATCGCCAATTGCATATGACCCCATTTTTCAGTCGACACTTTCATCGTCTAAGCCCGATTGTGTCTATGAACTTAACAGCGGATTACCATAGCTGTAGATCGATTTATAACTAAATACCGCTTGCCACACACTTTGTTGTCCTGAATCGATGTCGCGAGCTTTGTCCTAATACATAGTCGCAATCTATTCTTCACTATACACTTTACGGTATCAATATAGAGATGAAATCGAGCTTTTCCCCTACACTGAGTAATCAGTTTTTTAACAGTTTTTTTAACGCCACACGGTGGAAGCTGCGAATTCGACCCTGAAAAACGGATCGTCGACGTTTTACATAGTCTCTTCCTGCTCACAGAGTCGAAGATTAGTGTCATGAACCCATACGGGTGGGATGTTACGCGTTTTTTTGTCGTTCATAGGCACGTCCGGGCATGTTACACCTATGAGGATATTGTCATTCGCAGAGGAAAATGTTGGCAGATCTTTAAGAATCAAAGAATATTGTTGGTGGTCAAGTGGCCTTCACATGTTGTGCGACATGTTGAGAATTTGGCGCTCAACATTCGAAACAAGTATCGCATTGTTAGCAATTAGGAATTCTATCACTAATGGCAGTCGTGGGCATAGAACGCTTGTTGGCTGGGTCCGGCGGTCTGTATTGAGACGATCCCTGGAAAGCAGTAGAATGTGAAAATAGGTTTCATCACCTGAGAACGCTGAAAGATGTATTCAGGCACGCCAACATAGTCTTGAAGAATTAGCAAGCACAAGTTTGAGACTGTAGCTTCATTTTAAATTAAAGCCCTCTATCTGATTTAATACAGTAACTTCGAACTTTTGTTATGACTATATATGATATAGCATCTAACCACGGGAGAGCGGTTTTAATCTGCATCATTTTCAAGTTTTCACATAAACGATTTGCCTTTTTCGGACTATTACACAGCAGCGAGAAAGGTAACCTACAGTGGTAAGTACTTTTTAATGGGGTATGTTATACATGACGTCATTATGGGGTGTAAGCAAAGCACGCCGTCGTAGTTCGCGCTCCTCTATTCAGTTTAACGTTGGGCAGCATGCCCGATTCTAAACACAAATTATAATTCGAAGCCCAACATATCATTGGAAAGTATCTACAGCAAAGATAATTGTGCCAAAGAACGGAGTTAGAAATTATCTCGCTGCTTGGGCGAGTAAGGGAGCAAAAGTGGAAGCGGCTTCTCACGCCTTGTGTTCCAGTTTGGCGCACTTTATCACAGACCAAGCTACAAAACTGGAGGAAATTCCTAGCAGTTGCTGTACGTCCAGCCAACTCGTATAACGCTACAATGAGTCGCAAGCAAGATCTCATATTTTTGGTCAAATAATAAAATCCCGTTTCCCGCCTTGAGTACCAGTAGAATAAGGGGCACCCAAGTGAACACTTTTAAGCATCGCGCCAACACAGGTAAGCTGACGCCCTAACAATTTACTTCAACAGGGCAATATTTAATTTTACGTCTCGATTGAGAACAAGTAAAATTCTGCCTCCTAATGTAAATGCCTCCTAAAAAAATCGTTTAGCAGTGATGTTCAGAATCAGCCTTGTCACATACAAAAGCAGTATTTCGGGAATTAGCATCTGAGGGCGCAGCTTATTTCACTCTAGTTCAGTCGGCGGTCTAAAGTTAAAGTGAAAGCCTTCAATGTGTCACATAGTTGGTACCTTTTCAGTGTCGTATATTAAAACATGAATCAATAAAGTCTACTGACCGTAAGAATTGTTCGAACTCTACTTCTGCGTCCCTAGGCGGAGCTACAAGAATCGACGTACCGAAAAAGCACAGCGATTGTTCCTGAACGCAGATAATGATTTATATTCGAATGTGGTACTTTGAACGATATAAGTAGTACAGCGATGTTCTTGATGTAAACATTAGTACGTAATCCAGTAAAAACTAAACACTGACAAAGAAGAGAAAGCCAGCCAGATTCGGGCTGTGCACGTAATCAACTGAGAACATGAAACTGATTTGACTCCATCATGCAATTGCTATTGATAGCGTGTCTGGTTGCTAGCCCTATTTAGGTTCCATCAACGGCGATTGGCCGTTCCTCAAGAGAGACTGAGGAAATCAGGTCGATCGATGGGCACTAGGTACAATAAGATAACTACAAACGTGTCAATGACTTCCGTGATAAAGTGCTGTAACATTGCCACAATGCGAACTCTCGTGAACGTGAACGTGAACACGTGAGCTACTTTATCTGTCTTCGAGCGTAGCCGTGTAATGCTTGACTGTAGTAATACTTAAGTGTTGCACCTAGGTTTCTTTCGCCACCGATTTTTTCTGGAACAGTTAATACTCAAAATGTTTGTTCCTGTTTCATCATTTGGGACGCCTGAGTCCGAACAGCTACCGTTATACACCATCATCTTCCGATCATGCACTTTCCGGTCCTTTTTGTTAGATGAGAAACACGCACCCCGTTTTAAATTTGCTACGCAAAGTTGTAATTTTACTGTAAGAACGTACTAAATTATGCTTTCGGTCATACCGAAACTAATAAAACAATCGGAAGCTTCTTGCTACTGGCAAAAGCTAGCGAATGAATCAGCGCGTTCGCGGAAAGCATGAGGGTCTTGATAAGAGTTTCTGACTCCGGCATGTAATGATTACCTCATGCCCATCCGCTACATACTCACCCGTTCCTTCAGCCCCAGTTTACAATGCGCTGCCATGCTGTTGCGAACAGCTGCTTGTTACTAGTATCCGCAGAGCGGAACCACTTCCCGTTCTGTCCGATTGCCAGGAAGTTGTGCAGCGTTACCCGGTCAGGTCGGACGAAAACGCAGGGTTGTCTAGAGAAGCGTGCGTACGTCGCGTGCAAAAAAAGCTGTCTTGTAAGTGGGAGAGCCGCGTTCCTCTAAAAAGCCTTTGAGGACTCGAGTCCTGCTGAAAAAAGAAGAAGCCCTCCGCAGCCGGAACCAAAGAACGACCTTCCCCAGTTCCTTTGCTGCCATTGGACGAAATGGGTGATGAAAAAGGAACATACACAATATTGTTCATAAACTGCTATGTTTGAGCTAAGCTCTTTGTGAGCAATAAAGTTGCATGCGATAAAGACACATTAATGCTCTTCATGCGTTACCCATCTCCATTTATGCGCACTATAAATGCATATACATATATATACGCCAGCGTTCGGGCAATATGCCATATGGAAACAGACTCGTGTAACTACTTTGTTTTGACGTCAACTACTGGAAAAACAAACAGGTCTAGACTGTTTAGAATAAACTTTATAGAACAATAAAGCATAGGTTTTAGCAGTAAGTTAAAAGTATCTTCGAAATTTAAGTCTTTTTTCAACATTTTTATATGCATGCAGTTTTCAAGTAACCATACGTCTGTCGATCAGACAACTACAAGAAGGGTAAAGAGTTATGTGCAATTTTATCTACTTATGACGAATTGGATCAGATGCGTGTAGTGGATCAGAGCAAATAAGCTCGGCTTTATACCGGTGATGAAGAACTCTATTCTACGAGTTCTAGCGGCTCTTTTGTCAGACATCAGAGCTACCTTTAGCGGAACGAGTCTGACTCGCTAATCGTCTATATTACACTTTGGGTCGTGGGTCTGCCATAGGGTCTCGAATCCTGGAGTTATATCGACCTTCGGACTTAGTTTATCAGCCTTGCTAGACACGACGAACGTACTATATTAAAAAAAAAAAAAAAAAAATTAAATAGCATTAAAATGTTTGACACTAAAGGACCTTAATTATCATTGGTGATAGTACATGAATTTCGCCAAAAGTCGCTTTGGTCCCATTGCGTCCTCACTTACTGAAAATTTTTACCAAGTCTCGATCTAGGTAGGCCTGCGTCAAAAGTTCGTTTGCATTCGTGCGAGACATCGCCCAAGTTACCTAACTACCTAATCTAGCTAAAAATCCTAGACAATGGGCTCTACCAGGAAAAAGTTCGATTTGCTTCGATCCGCATGGAGAATCGCGCTTCCGCCCGATCAAAATAATTGCCCGATATTTAAAGCATACACAGTAAACGCTTGAAATACAAGGAAACATAAAAAAAAATCGCTGCTTAAAGAGAACAGTCTTAGCGTACACGTGGTACGCCCTACACACGAGCTTATGCATCTGCTGCAACATCTCTATCATGCTGAATCTGTTTAGTCTCGGCCAAAGAGCAGAAAAAAAAGAACGCATAAACTATGAGGGCACCCTGCTGATCTCATCAACGAAAGATGTGTCTTCGGTATTTTTGCGCGCGGTCTGAATTCGCTATCGACGTCGGTTGTAGCTTCAACTTTATATGATTTGAAGCTTCCCTAGTTTTATTGGATTTACATATGGACTACTTCCCAAAATCTGCTTGTTCTCGAGTAATAAAGTTGCGAGTTTACCACGATGGATGCCATACGATGATGCACCGTCTACAGAATCCATACTGCCACCAATTAACTGAACAACGCTTACAAGAATCGTTTCATGCAGAGCTAATGATTCAATTGAATCCAAGTACGAGAAGACGTTCAGTGTGGCGCGAAAGGCGAACCATTAGAATTAGTTACTGTATCGCGACGAATGGCCGCTCTGAAGGATAATGGATGCCAAGTTCTTGATAGAATGACAGAAAAACTTTTACGTCACCTTGTTTAATGGGCATGCAGTCAGATTTGTTTCCGGTAAGGAAATTACGATTGTCGTGGAAACGGTTGGTAACACCGTTCAATCGGTAAAGCAGAGTAGCGCCTCTTTGCTGCCGGCTATCGTGAAAAGTTTATTTATTGCCGGTGACAATAGAGCAATTCTCTAACAAAATAAAACGTGATGTTTTTACGAGGGTCGTCTGTAGGGAGGATAGCGAACGATTGCATTTCTGTGTTTATATCGGCGCAGTCATTATCTATTCGGTAAAACCTTACTCAATTGTGATATAGACCGGGGAAATAATCAATAACTTCGTACCAGGTTCTAGTGAGAATTTGGAAATTTGCACGTTATGCAATTTCAGTGTTGCGTTTAATACAGTTCGCTGAAGCGCCTCGGTCACCGATCGTCGTTCTCTCAGACCACGTTGATCTGTATGTAGGAATTATATGCCTAACATATTTTTTAGAGGTTATCCACTAGAAAAAACTATCCATAGATTAAAAAGGTGATCTCATACAGCTTTTGGTGCTTGGGGTGTACCAGCGGCTCGAAGATTTGACGTGTTGGATCTTGTAAAACCTTCCGCTACTTTACGTAGTTCCATTGGAATATGTTTTGTGTTACATTCTCTGAATCATGATTTATATCATAAACGTAGTTTCAAACAACTAAAAATATGTATCGATCCGTCGTAGAGTTCCAGCCTCACTGCGTACAGATGACGTCCGCGATGCGTGAGAAGTCGCATTAGAGAAACGGCATTTTGAGCTGTACAACAAGATGACCGACGCATCCCATATAAAGTACATCTACAACACATGCAGGTACGAAAAGATCGCGCTTGCGTTATGCACACGTCGCTGAAGATAGTGAGGTTAGAGGTAATGAGTACGGGTCAACTAGACCTTTCCTATAGCATTCGCAGAGGTTCCGCGATAGGAAAATGCCTCCGTTTTTTCTAGTCGTTCGAGAGGGACCCGTACAATAGGCATTTTCTATAATGCAACAAGTGTGCATAGCTTGAATGCGGTTTGATATACAGAATCGCCCAAAAGTCACTCGTAAATAACCAGGTAGGTTTTTTTCGAACCATCAACACGTTTTTACCCGCAATAAGCACACGATATTGCGGGTCTTTAACTGAGCCTGCCTGGACCCCTACCAGCCAAAAAAAGCAGAAGGAAAAAACAGGCTTATCAAGTAAAGAGGCCACGTCCGTAGACGCAGGCCTGAAGAAGTAAAACGCACGGAACAAGGCAGAATTGGAGACGAAAATGTGCCATGTTAGCCCCAAAAGCTTCTGCTGAGAAATCTCTTAAGATCGTTTGCACCTTCCTAACATAGTAACGATCAAGGTGACGCATCAAGGGTCAGTATTGTATTTTAGATACAGATGTTCAGGCTAGACGAGTTCATTAATATATATGTTTTTTTCGTTGTAATCATATGTCGAAGACGATTCGATACCAAATGCCTGCACGACCGACACCTTTTGTCGGTTTTGAAGGTAATCCTTACGCTAGGTGCAACGGCCAAAAGGCAACGTTATCATTAACTAACTGGCACATGCACCTCGTTACTGCACAAATTTTTCCTAAGCAACAATTTGAAAAACTGAATTTTAATTTTGGGAAAAAATTTTATGCCAACGACAGTACAAACGCTTGTTTTCTGTATAACAGATGGTTGGTTTTTATATGTATCGGCTATCTATATTGAAATGAGTATGTTAGCTTATATAACATAACAATTATAAAAAATATAATAATACACTATTACTATTATATGCGTAAAATTCCATAGCATGTAATTATAGAATAATACCCCGGTACGTCTTGCTGTGAACTAATACAATCAACGTGTATAATCCCCATTGTTTGCTGCCTACAGTGGAAACGGTGCTGTCCATTTATGTCGGGCTAGAAATACACCACGACCGCTAACGTGAAATCTTTGCCCCTGTTTTATTTTTATAGTACTGTAACAACACCTTAGTATATGTGCGAAGCTTAGTCGGGGATTTCGCATCTTATTCGACGCTGTCTATATCCATTCGTTGCATGGGTTTTGTGCTATATTCAAAGCTGCTAGCGTTCGTTCGCCGTGCCAAGAGCAAGATGTCTCGCTCGGATATCCGGCAACATCCCTGGATAAGGTAAGCTTGACTAAAACGTCAACCATGTGTACTTGCCTGGAAGATACTAGGAGGGAATTGTAGGACAAGAGCAAAGCTTATGCCTTACGTTTTTTTCCTCCTCAATGCCTTCTAGCTGTCCTTACTTGGCTTTCAGCCTTGGCTTCTGCAAAAAGCAAAAAGACAGATCGTATCTTCCACACCTGTTGTCGACAGGCGTTCTTGTTTCTCCGCTCGGCTGACGGACCCCCTGGTCTGTTCGATCTCAGAACCAGACTTGATGATTTGATGAACTTAACGCTCCTGCAGTCCCTTTGAAGGACTCGTGAATTATGGCGCAGCAATTTTTTGAGGCCACACCATTCACAGCCTTAACTCCTTCGACACGGTTTATATAATGCCCAATGCTTCTTGTATCGATTCTCTACCAATCGAACGCATCCGCCTAATATAACGTTGTCCAATTGACGACATTGCATTGACAGAAACCCCTTATGCCGACCGGAGAAAATGTTGTTGCCTAAAACTCAAACGGCAGTCAGTTATGTTATCAATATTTGCTAGGACTTAACTTTTACCGAGCAGTCGATGGTGTTGTCGTTTAAAACAAAACATTGAGTTTCTGTTCCGCACCGCGTATTTATAGCGCTTGACGGAGACAAAAGTAAAGACCCTGAGGAGTTTTACAATAGAAACAGTGATAAGAGACATACATAGGAAATCTGATTTATATATGGTAAAAAATATTTTTTACGTTTTTTTTTTCTGGTGTCGTTGCTGTGTCAGAGTTAATTGTAACAAACGCGACGAAAAAATTCACATGGTTGATTACAGCAAGGGATGCCATATGCTGCGTATAATAAACAATGGCATTCTCTCTGGGAATAGAACTGACGTAAGGGAATTTAAAAAAAAAAACAAAACAAAACAAAACAAAAGAAGCCTTTATCGTACGTCTATTGGACATGTATGTGTAACGGCGGATTTGTCTAATGACCACTAGTCGTCACCTGCGGGTAAATAGTCTACTAGCACAGAAGTCGTACCGTTTAACTGATAAGCAGATTTCAAATGAACACTCACCGTTTACTGTGGCCAAGTGAACCAACGAAACACGGAGTGTGTTGGTTGCGTCGCTTTTTCTATTTCCATCTGTCTGTTTCTCGTTTGAGGAACAGGCAAAATGCTAAAAACCGGCATA